CACAGGATACACTGGATCATCCTTTCTGAAAGAAAAACAGATAATTCTGTCCTACAATTAAATAAAAAAATAACCTGAAAGTTCTTTCCTTTATAATCTTCACTTCCAATTTGCAAAAATGTTGGTCGTTGCGAGTTTTGAGGACCGCTGAGCTGATTAATTCAATCAGCTCGATGTGCACAGCTCTGGTTGACATCCAGGTAACGAGTACTGTCCAATGCTTGCTGTCTGCACTCCCACCTTTCGGAGAACATGTACATTAATAATTGTCCAGGATTTAAACACATTGATGCCATCCTCTAGTCCTCTCCCACGTAACTTGCGACAAATAACAGACTTGCGGATAACAGAGGACATAAAGCATTTTCTGCCAAAAACCCAGCATCCAGCTGCTTGGACTGCTGCCTCCATTATATTATGTCCTTACTGAGATACTTTGTCATGATAGAATCTCACAAGCAGTGTGGCATTGTGATGTGTGGGACGATCAGAGTATGTTCCCTTGAGAGGTCTGCAAATGATACACGAAATGTGAAGGATTTTGCTTCTTGAACAGGCGTTGCTTGTTAAACATCTTTCCCTCCTCGAGATGTCTGAACTCTTTAAAGACATCATGTTACACAGATGGAATAATCACAACTTTCTTGCGAGGGCTCAGTTGTGGTTGACATCTGTTTGAAACATTTCCAGCCTCTGCATTTTGCACTGTGAGAATTTTCCTTAATGATGCTGACATGAATCAGCCAGGCTGAAGCATTGCAGAGTTTCCTCCAGTTTGAGAATAGCTCAAAGCAGAGCCTAATTGAGCCTCTGTGGTTCTGGACCCAGGGCTGGGAGTTCAAGTTGGATTTTAGCATCTGAAAGGCTTCTATTAGCTCTTCAGTATAGCCCCAAATTGGATTTAGCAAACATCTGTGTAATTCTTTTCAGGAAGCATATTGCTTTTGACAGTGAAGAAAAGAGAAATGACTGTGAGCACAGATACCTGTTGTTGCTCAGTGTTTGAGAGGATGGCAAAGTTGAGCTGGCGCCACCCTTGGAGGAAGGGAAGGGACTAGATTTGAACATTTTGTTGGATGTTTTTCAGAGGTTTCAAAAAGATACCATAGCCATCAATGGAAATGTGCAAGAAGGTGTTTTATTGTTTAGTAGTCAGAGAAGACCACAGAGACCATTTTCGTTATGTCCGAATGAGGACAGAGACTCCAACAAAATTGTGGGGGAGTAGAGGAAGAAAAATACACATGTTATGAAATGTCCATCCCAGCTTTTGCCATGTAGTGCGTCAGACATGCCACAGAGAAGGGTGAGGAACAACGTGGCTCTTTTTCAACATAGGAGACTCTAATCAACAATGTCCAGTTTGGGCTAATTTAGCAGCTTTTTATAAGTAAAAACTGATTCTTTAAGCACTATGGTTGTCTTTTCCTAATTTCTCACTTAGGAAAAACATGAAAAATATGAATTCCCCTTCACATTTTTTCTTGACCTTGAGGTCAGGGAAGAGTGTTTCAACATGGATTATTAAACCATAACCCCCGACCTCACGACTCTGTAGATTTTGCTGAAAAAAATAAAAGCAAAACTCAAAGAACTTCAATGCATTCGTTATATATTGTGTAAACAAGCTGAAATGCACATAGGAAACAGACTCACCTGCATTTTTTGACTCCGTGATGCAGGCCCTCCCTCCATCAGTCCCAGAACGTAGAGGCCCATGTTGTACTCACTTCCTCCTCGGAGGCTGAAGCCGAATCCTGAGGGGCCGCGATCCAGATCCACACTGTAATACCTGGAGTCCCGCTGGGACACACAGATAAAGAAGTTTAGGTTAATATTATACACTGGCAGTTAATAACAGCCACAATCGATGTAGGAATTTCAGTGCCCGTTAGGTACACGTGATTGAATGTGCTTCCCTCACCTTTGGACGTGACCTCTGTCCCTTTCTGTTTCTGTGACCAGAGTCATAGTCAGCAGTTTCCGGAAGGTTTGCAGAGTCTGCAAAAGATAGTCTGATTGTGAAATAAGAGCCAAGCTTTGCACTGTGGCATATGTGTATGTTTGGATGCTTATGTGAATGCCTACAGGTGCTGGAACGCGGGACAATGGTAAGACGTAGAGTATTTCCTGCCCGGCGAAGTATCTGAGCGAGCTCCCGATGTGGCAGAGTCACCACCGAGCGTCCCTCTACAGCCTCTAAACGATCCCCGGGCCGGATCTGACCGCTCTTTGCCGCAGGACTGCCACGACGGACCGTCACAAACCGGTGAGGCAGAAGAGAAGCAGCTGAAATAGGACAGAATAAAACAGTTATTAGCGCATTAAAGTAGATGAGGCTGGAACACGAGATTCCATCAGGCCTAAAAAGTTTCCTCTTAACTGAAGGCTGAGAGTAATAAGTGGATAATTATAAAAACAGGAAGCTTTAACTCATCAGCGCATGTGCCAGAAATCCTAAAACAAGCTATAATTTAGCTTCGGATCATTCTTGACAGGCTATTTTATGAATTACTTCCTTAAAGGAGCCTACCTAGTCCCTCCTTTCCCCGTTATCACCTTGAAACACTCTCCTCTTCTCCCTCATATTCCCATCTATCAACCTACCTCTCTAACCACTGACACGCCGCAAACAGTTTTTCAGCTGTCCAACAATGCATCTTCCCCCTCAAGAATAAACTGTCATGGAACGCAATCTTTCCGGCAATATTTTTTCCCAACCCAAATCTGTCAAACCGCACATAACAACAAACTTTAGATCTTTAGATATCTGTTTACCCAGCACCAGTGATTCTTATGCTCAGCACATCTAAGATCCCCCTCAAATTGTAGCTTGTGTGCATTAGTATGCCACCGGCTTACAAAACACACACAGCAGTACTTTTATTTTTCGTGCAAGCACCATCGAATATTTTTCTCCTCGATGTGGGAAAACGACTCTTCTCACCCTCATCAGCTATAAGACACAGTGTGAAACTGAGGTTACAGATAATACACAAGTGTGTTGTGGAAGCCGAGGACCGGACCATTAGCTTCATGTATAATGAACTCCATTTGTCTTATTGTCTTTATGAAGAGATCACATGCAATTAAGCTAAAATGGTCAGAATCTGAGGCTGATGAGAAAAATATTCAGCAGCCTAACAATAAATTTGCTTCCTTTAATCGCCTGCACCAAATAAAAAGCTTAAATTTTTTTAGCTGGACAGCTGTTTCTGTCTGCTGTATCTCTTATTTCTCTTTTTGTGTTTTAATAAACTCCCTATTAGGCTTTCCCTGACCCCACTTTGAGGGAATGCGGAGCTTTAGTGGCAGCTGGCCCTTCTAGAGTCTTGCCAGTGGCCTTATGTAACCCATCAGGCAGCATAAACATTTTGAAACTGTTATTCAGCTGAGGTACATGACGCTCAATTCTGCCCATGTCCCTCTGGTACCGAAATAGCATGTTTAGAGTGATTTAAAGAGCAAAATGAAATGCTTCGTTAACAGATTAAAATTGTATTCTTGGGGGTAGGAGTATGTCGTATGAGATGAGGAGCATGTCACATTGGAATCATGATTCAGTTACAAGGTTCAGCCTATAAATCAGAGCCCAGAGACACGAGTCCAATCTGGGCCTAATCTGGGTGACCCAGGCGGAAACAGCAATCAGGTCAAATCAAAGCCAAGGCAGCTTTGCAAATAGTCTTCTTATCATGCATAATACATCAACAGTGGCTAAACACATGAATACACATGCAACAGCGATGCTTACACGCACACGGCAGCATTGTAGAAATGCACAGACACATGTTAAGAATCTCACACACACACACACACACAGACACACAGTGACTCACATGCAAAAAGATGAGGACAGATGCACTCAGCCACAAATGCACAAACAGACACACAAGCTACACACACATGCATCTGAACGGACTGCATTATATCGTAGTGTCTTTTCCTCTGGCTCTCCATGTTCTCCTGTCCACAGTAATCCCACTGCGGTATGCCCAGCAGCCAGCCAACCTCTGACGTGCTGCACTGATTACCGCTCAGGAGTCGAGCAGCCCGCCCTCCCCTCTTCCGTAAAAAACCCTCTCTGGACCCCAGATGAGGCGGCGAGCGCGGACATCGCTACAGCAGCCTGCGGATGTATACTACATGTTGTACACCGAGGGGGAGAGAGGAGTGCTGGTTTTCAGCAGGATCACTCACATGGTAGTGTCTCTGCCAGTTAGTTAATGCTGAACATCACCGCTACAATCGAACTACCATTAGAGCTGGGACTAATCGCCTTTTACCGCAAATGCTCGTTATGTCTTGTGCCGCTTTACACCTGACTGGGCTTAAAATAACAACAAGATTTCCTTTCATCAGCTGTTGCTTCAATCACAAAGGCTGCATCATCACAACTGCAAAATCAACCATACAACGCATCTCTTGCAGCATCCTTTTGATCAAGCGTCTGACACCTCGAACGTGTGAGCATGTGATTCGAACTTTCACACCGTCAACACATCTGGCTGAGCAAACTTTCGAGAACAGAACGCAGTATTTAACACTACTACCTCACCTACAAAGCTGAATGTGAAACACTGCACCAAACCGAGACCAACCTCATTTCTGCCAAACACACAAGAAGAAGTGGAGCAAATAATTACGTTTGGACTCCTTCACAGTTCTCAAAGCAGACTGTAGTCTCTCCAGCATGGCTCTCTGATTCGCATGCACAGGAAAACAAACAAAAGGATAAAAAAAAAATAAAAAATCTGTGTCAAGCAGATTCACATGCAGCGGTCGACAGGAGCGAAAACACAGGTTTGCTGTCGCTTCTGTTGCTCCTCGGCGAGGGAAACATTCAGTGTAGCATTTGCAGAGTGATGGAGAGAGCGGGAGGTACGGAGCGATAGATACAGAGAGACGGAGAGAGAGTTTTAATCTTTTGAAAAACCCGACTGGACGCTTTTACTGCAGAGCAAAAGGGGTGTGAGAGAGAGAGGGAGAGTGGGCAGGAGCTTATGAGTGAGAGTGAGAGAGGAAGAGAAAGCCAGAGATGGGAATAGAAAATTATTAAGAAAAAAAAAAAAAAAGAGGAAAAGAGAGACAGGAGTGGCATGACAGGGGTGAAATGAAGGGGAGAATGAGGACATGATGGAGATGGAGGCTTACAAGAGTGGACAGACTTTGTACTGCAGGGACAGGTGCACCTACGACCTTAATCTCACCATGAAAACACAAATGTGTGCTCGCTTGGGCCATAAAGCAAATTGAACTGTATCAAAGTGGAACAGAGCAGCTAATGCAAGACATGTAAAGGTGAGGGGGTAATACATCACTGGGATGCTGCGGCTAACCTGCTATTCATAAGCAATACACTGAAAGCTAATAAGGGGCAGGATGTGTTCACTTCCCAGACAGAACTGAAACAATGCAGCATTGTCCCGTAAGATCAAAGATACGAGACTACTTTTCTTAATTCAAGCTTGAATATTCAATTCAAAAGATTCCAGACGTAAAATTAAAAAAAAAATCCATTCTTAAATCATTTTTGGGAATGAATGAAAGATGGGGCTGCCACATAAACTTTGTGATCTTTTAGCAAAGCAGTTCAAGCAGTTTGAACTTACAGTATTTTTTACTGGATAAAAGGATACGATCCATTAACAATATAAAATGGCAAGCCAAAGTGACAGTGAAGTTGTTTGTCAAACTCGTGTCAAACACATGTGTCAAACTCGAGGCCTGTAGAAAAAAATCTGTGGCTGGCAAATCAGGTTAGACTCAATTAATTTTGGCCCATGCAGCTCTAGCTGTGATATATCAGCTTAACAACTTAAACAATTTTATCTGCAACGATTCAATCTCTGTTTTGCAAAAGTATAGTTTGTCCTCAAAGTGGACAGAAAATTATTACATTTTTCTGTGCAACCGGTTTCACTCGCTTGCTTTGCTGTATGACATATGTAAACTACACGACCATTTCTTTTCTAAAATTACATTTCCCTGTGACAAAGTGGTCAGGCATGAACTCATTTACCACTTGTCCCTTAACCACATTGATAATTTATTCCTTGTTATTTTACAGTCAACCATAATGCTTTAATTTAGACATTGTTGGTGTAACTTTGCTTAACATACTATCCCGGGTTTGTTTGTGGTAGCAGTAGTTACATCCATCACATCCATGCATGCATCCATGTTTTTTAAAGCAAATACTATTAACCATCAGGTCATTTGAATTTTCTCCTGTTCACAGGCAAATGTCTGGTAAATGATGTTTCTTTATGTTGCTTTGGTTATACTTTCCATGTTTGTCCATTTATTCAGGTCCTATATTTAAACCAGGTGTGTGGGAAGGGCTGCCCCAGTACTTCCTGTTTATATAGGGTCATGAGGTCATTGATTGGAACACTGGGTGTAACCAAGTGAAGGGTTTTTTCATTTTGTATAGCATTGTTTATTTTCTTTAAAGTAGATTTTCGAGTTGTACTGAATGCAATGTTTTACTTT